TGTCTCTACTTTTTAGTACGCTGTCTATGTGTGTCATAGCTTTTCTTCCAAGAAGCAAGCATTTTTTAATTTCATGACTATACTCACCATCTGCAGTGATTTGAAGCCCAAGAAAATAAAATCTGTCACTGTTTCCACTTTTTCCCCATCTATTTGCCTTGTAGTTATGGGACCAGATGCCATGATCTTTGAATGTTGAGTTTTAAGCTATCCTTTTCACTCTCCTCTTTTACCTTCATCAAGAAGCTTTTCAGTTCCTCTTCACTTTCTGCCATAAGGGTGGTGTCATCTGCATTTCTAAGGTTGATATTTCTCCCAGCAATAGTGATTCCAGCTTGTGCTTCATCCAGTCTGGCATTTCATATAGTGTACTCTGCATAGAAGTTAAATAAGCAAGGTGACAATATACAGCCTTGACGTACTGCTTTGTCAATTTTGAACTAGTCCATTGTTCTGTGTCTGGTACCAACTGTTGCTTCCTGACCTGCATATAGGTTTCTCAGGGGGCAGGTAAGGTGGTCTGGTATAGTTGATCCTAGTCATATTCTCTTGGATCCCTGATATACAATGTATTTGTGGAGAAATTGACCTTTGACTTCATCAAGGACTGGTTGGACACCCTTCTTTAAAAGCACCTGCCAGCACAGTACTCAATGTACATGTATAAGACTACACCATTTGTGCACAGTATACAATTATAATGACAAGATTCTCAATCCAAATGACATGTAGAAAATATGCTTATCTTTCACAATTGTGTTGATTTTGGCTAAAATCTCATTTGCAGTTATAAAACAAGAATGAAAACATTCCCAGTTTAGAGTTTTAAGATTATATCATAAAAAGTTATTGGATGTTTTCAGTAAAGAAACACAATGGCCTAAGTATTTTGAGTGAATTGTGCTTTGCTAAATAATTCCTTCCACAAGTTCTACATTGCTTAATTATGAAACTGATTCATATACCATATTGGAAGGTGTGCTATTTATAACTTTTGATTTGATGCTAACTCTATATTTCCTATATTCCTCCTTCTCCCTTTCCCAATGCAAATCTGGCTGCCATTCTTTTGAGCTACAGAGTAGGGAACATATCATATTTACTTAAGTGCTAACTGTAATGGTTAAAAGCTTAGATTCTTAAGCCAGAAACACCAGCTTTATCTCTTGCCTCCAGTGTGGTCTCAGGAAACTTATTTTATCTTCCTAAAATTAAATTTCCTCAGGTGAAAATGTGGACAATTGAATCATTAAAATTATTGCAAGAGGGATTGTGATAATACATACATCAAAGTGATCGCTGGTGGCCTTGGCTTGCAGTGGCTCCAAGCAGGGCTTGGGTTCCCATCCAGGGACTGAGGTCAGGTCTCAGCAGTGAGAGCACCAAATCCTAGTCACTGGACCCCATAAGGGTCTTGGCCTTTCAGCTTTGCAGAAAAGAATTCCCACAAAGATGGAAAGTAGTGAAAAAAGTAAAGTATCTATTACAAGGATAAAAAGTCCAGTACATGTGGATATACATACGGGTGGGCAGACACACACATGGGTTCAGAGAGAGTTGCTGAGTCTTCTCTTGTGGTGGCCTGAGTTACTTTTATGGGGTATTTCTTCCACATTTTCTTGACCAGTAATTCTGACTTGCTTGGTTCAGAGTCCATGTTTGGTATATCTCAGGATCCTCCCATGTGTGTGTACGTATCACCTAGTCAAGATGGATTCTACCACAAGAGGTCTATGGGTAGTGTCATCAATTGACATCACTCCCCTTTTCAACCCCAAGGAGCCTTTCTGCTCCTGTGTAGTCAGGAAGATCTTCAGACTCTGAGAATAAGAAATATGTGGTCTCTTATCTTCTATCTGGGCAGGACCCAGGCTCCTCCCTCAATTTTCCTGCTATTCTTATCTTGGTGTATTGTTCCACAGGGGACAAATCTCTCAGTGTTTCACCTTGGGTCACCATTTACCTCTTGCCTCAAAAGTGCTTATATAGTAGCCATTTAATAAATATTAATTTTGCTAATTATTATTGTTATATTCACAAAATACTCAAACCGTCAGTTTCTAATACTGTTTTTAGAGAATTTTACCCTTGTATTTGGAAAAATGTAGTTATAAAATCCTGTACATGTTTCAGGACGTTTCCTGTCTAAACTTTTTTTTTTTTTTTTTTAGAAAGAAAACTCACCTTTAATAAAGAAAATGCCCAATTTCTTATGTATCTAATAACACATTTCCAAATACATTAAACAAGAATGGACAAAACTGCAAGACTTTGAGAATCTATGTTTAGAGTAGCATTATTTTATTTTAATTTTTGAAAATAAGTTTTTTTATTTTTGACTGTGGTGGGTCTTTGTTGCTATGAGGGCTTTTCCCTACTTGGGGCACACGGGCTTCTCACTGAAGTGGCTTCTCTTGTTGTGCAGCGTGGGCCCCAGGGCACTGGGGCTTCCGTAGTTGCAGCTCCTGGGCCCTAGAGCACAGGCTCAGTAGTTGGGGTGCACGGGCTCAGTCGTTCCATGGCATGTGGGATCCTCCAGGATCAGGGATTGAACCTACATCTCCTGCATTTGCAGGCCAACTCTCAACCACTGAACCACCAGGGAAGCCCCAGATATTTTATTATGAACTTGCTCAGTAAGTAAAAATGTCATTAGTAAGACAGTCTAAAACACTCTTAAGAAACTTGACCATTCAAATACTGACGAGCCCACCCAATACTGAAGAAATGTACAGCATCTTGAATCACACAAGGAATTACAAAAAACTGGCCACATACTAACTTTATAATTCTAACTCTGAGTTATAAAACCTCTCCCAGAATTGCCCAGCAGTCCAGTGGTCAAGACTCTGCGCTTCCACTGCAGGGGGCCTGGAGGGTTTTTTGGCTACAGCATGTGGGATCTGAGCTCCTCAACCAGGCCAGGGATGGAACCCATGCCCCCTGAATTGGAAGTGCAGAGTCCTTCAGCTGAATCCCCGGGGATGTTCATTGCCAGGAGTTCAATCCCTGATTGGGGAATCAAGATCCCGCAACAGGTGTGGCAAAGCCAAAAACAATAAAAATAAATAATAACTTCTACTTAAAAAAAAAACAAAAAACTCCCCTGAAATGCTTCTTAACCAAATTAGGGCTTTGCTTTATGGAATAAATTTAGACATGCAATCTACTACAGCCATGAAAATCCCCAAATACGCCATTCAAATACAAGAGTGAGAAATTGTGTATTTATATTTGAGGGTCATGTTACTGGGACCATGACCTTCATTTCAATGATCCTCAAGTTGCGTGAGCTAACTCAGGGAATATCATCCCATTTCCAGAGCGAAACAAAGGAAAGAACAGGGGACTTGGTTAAGAGAGAGTAAAGAACATTCTCTCCTTTCCAACAGCCCTCCAGGAATCCAAACCACCTCCCTCCTTACTGGCAATAAGCTCCATTCACCATCAGATATGAGAAAATCTGAGAAAGGCGTTTCTTTTTTTTTCTTTTTCTTTCTTTCTTTTTTTTTTTTTTTTTTGCTACATGGCATGTGTGATCTTAGTTCCCTGACGATCTTAGTTCCCTGACAAAGAGCCTTGCAGCGGAAGCACGGTCCCAACCACGGGACCACCAGGAAAGTCCCAAGAAATGCATTTAAAAACATTCCAAAGGGACTTCCCTGGTGGTCCCATGGTCAAGACTCATGCCTCCACTGAAGGGGGCGTGGGTTCGACTCCTGGTCAGGGAACTAAAACTTAACATGCTATGTGGCGCTCCCCTGCTCACCCCACCAAAAAAAATCCAACTGTGCTAACTCTGGAAAAACAAATCTATGTCCCTTCAGTAAAGAAGATGAGAAGAATGTGGTCAGGCAATGACAGAACTGGTCCCATCATGAGACCAAAATGAAAGTCAAGACAAGTATCTCCTATCAGTACCACAAAGATCACATACTCTGACCATAATGCAGTCAAATCAATGGACAGAAATGGCATCACGGAGCACAGCAAACCTGAGTTTAAATTAAACGTAGCTCAAACAGTAATTCACACGATTGCAGTGATGCATCAGTGAAATGTTATGAAGCTCCTACAGCTCAAAACTCACGTGGCAGAGCTGAAAGGATCAGCAGTGGGGTAGTCAGCATTCTTATGGGATTTTATTAGAAATGGTGGCAAATACAGAATTTTGGTTCCAATGGAAGGAAGAGACATGGATAATGCTAGTGATCAGAACATCTACTCTATTTCTCTCCTACTATTAGGGGCTTCCCCGGTGGCCAACCGGCAAAGAATCTGCCCGCAACGCAGGAGACGCAGGTCTCTGATCCCCGGGTTGGTAAGATCCCCTCGAGAAGGAAATGACAACCTATTCCAGTACTCTTGCCTGGATAATTCCATGGACAGAGGAGCCTGGTGGTCTACAGTCCATGGGGGTCGCAGAGTCAGACACGACTGAGCTTAAGACTCATTTGTGCCCTGTATGTGAAGAGAGGGAAATAAAGGCTTTCTCAAATCTATTACTGATGAGAGGGTCTCTCTCCAGGGTTTGGTCTCATGTGTAAAGTGAGGGCTGAGTATGTAAGGTGTGCCCACATTCCTTAATCCCATGTGATGCCTTGGCAGTGTGAGTTTTATTTTTTACTTTTTTGGCCCTGCTACATGGCATGTGGGATCTTAGCTGCACCACCAGGGATCAAACCTCTGCAGTGGGAGGGTGGTGTCTTACCCACTGGACTGCCAGGGAAGTCCTGCAGTGTGTCTTTACAGGACCTGTACATTTGAGACACTGAGGGCTTCCCCATATTCCCCTTAAAAAAATAAAAGTGTGAAATCTTACATTTCTGTAAGATCTGAGAGTTCAGAGAAGACGTTTCCATCTTTATTCATTCACTGAGCTCCCTTTCACCACGTCCTCGTTCTACACTCAGTATTTTGAGAAAATGAATGAAGGCTTCTCCCCATTCCTTTCATCTGCAGACCCTCTTCAGGTGGGTTTTAAGACTTGAAGAATTAGTCTAGCTTTCCCCACATTCCTTACATTTATAGGGTTTCTCTCTAGTGTGAATCCTAGAATGTTCCTTAAGCTTTGAGGACTTATTGAAGGTTTTCCCACATTCCTGACATTTATAGGGTTTCTCTCCAGTGTGAATCCTAATATGTTTCTTAAGCTTTGAGGACTTGTTGAAGCTTTTCTCACATTCCGGACATTCAGAGGTCTTCAGTTTGTGATTTCTCATATATTTATTAAGGTGTAAGATATATCTGAAGGTTTTCCCACAATTCTCACATGCGTAGGGCTTCTCTCCCGTGTGAATTTCCATGTGTTTCTTAAGGGACGATTGATACACGAAGGCCTTCCTACAGTCCCTGCACTTATAGCTTTTCCCTCCCATCGAAGTTCTCCTGTGTGAATCAGAACTCGGAACAGGGACAAATGTCTTCCCACTTTGATTATTATCATTATTTGTCTCTGCCTCGTAGAGTTGCGTCTGCCCGGCAGGGAGAGAGTTATATAGGAAGGTGTTTTCACACTGATGAGAATGACGAGGTTTCTCTTTCAGGGGCGTCCCTCGTGTCCTAAGGGAGATGTCTCCCCCTAAGGCTTTCCCACGTGGACAGTATTTGTGGATGCTCACACCCATGTACATTTCAGCCTGCAAATGAAGCAGGTGGTTCTGATGATCCATCCGCGCCTTTGATTTCAGCTCTGTCTGAGTTCTCGCAGGTGGAATCCATGGCATTTCCTGCCACTTGACTTGGTCGTCTTCGTTGTTTGTAGAGATTTTTTGATTACTGTGTAAGAGGAGAATTTCTTTCAAGATGTCTGGGTTACATCTTGGGTTATGTTTTCTTGTGGAATCTCCCTGTGATGGCACAATCTTCTGGCCAGGATTAGAGATGTCCCTCATTTCAGGATATTCCCAGAATCCAATGGGAAAGGCATCTTTCTCACGGGCAGCTGCAACTTGTTTCAATGTTCGCCCTCTCTGCTTGCCCGGCACCTCTATTTGATGGGACATCCAGTCTTCTCTGAGATCGGAGAGTCGGGAACCGCTGCTCGCCAGATGCGCTCTGTTCACTTCCTGAAACTTCCTTTTAGCAAGGTTGTTCTGCCGAGGGGTCGAGTCTTTGGTTTGATGTCGAGTGGCCCAATACAGGCCAGGTGACCACAGGTCTCCAGGATCACATCTCTGTAGAGCTGCCTCTGTGTGGCGTCCACCCACTCCTCCCGGGTGAAGTTCACAGCCACATCTTCGAAGTTCATCGAGTCCGTTTCCCCCGACAACCGGCTCCTAAACAGGTCTAGACTCCTGGTGGCAAGCGCTCGTTCCAGTCCCAGAGGTTTGCAGGGTGCCAGGCGGAAGGAAGGGAACTGCTTCCTGATCCGCACGCCTCACAGTGGACGGTGTCGGGGGAAGGAGGTAGAGGCAAGCCCTAAACTTTTAAAATAAGGCAGAAAATGAAATATAATTGTACCTCCAAATAATTGACTGAAAAGATGTTTTTGCCCTGTGCTAGGGTTTTACTTGATTAGGCAGCATATTTTTTCAAAAGAAATCTTCACTGACTTTTAAAAATACCATACCATCAATCATGAAAGCAGGGAGTAGGAGTAACAATAAGAACATATTGGAAACATTGAAGAAATGTTTAAAATTATGTAAGCAATCACACTTTGAAAATACACAGAGCACTAAAAAAACTCCCAAAATCAGAAGATGAAAAATACGTTTGAAAATGCATGAAAAATACATTGATCTTAGAAAAACACTTGTCCAGTTTTCATTATTAGTAAAAATAGGGCCAAGTTGTCATAATGATTTTTAATGCTATTTTTAAATAAAAAAAGTTGATGCTGTAAAATGTGATCTTTATCTTGGAAGGAAGATTTTAAATTAAGAAAAGATTGATTCAATGTAACCAGAGACTATTACAGTAAGAAGGAATCTAACAGGTAAGGATACCAAGACCCTGAAAAACTTGCTTAAACTGATCCTAGACAAGAAAACTAAGGAAAGAATCTAGGTCTCCAAGGATAAGTTATGTGATTGAGAATGACTGATCAATATAAATCAATATTTTTTTAAATCAATTTTTATTCATACCCTTTACATGTAAAATATGGCATATTAGTAAGGATGAATAGCCAGACATAAATAATGACTGCCATTTATTTCACCAGTGTAGTTGGGCCTGACTTTCTCTATAAATCCTACAGAAAGAGTAGGATAAAACTAATCAACTCTGCATATAGAGAAGGAAAAATAGCCTTATGCCAATTGTCTCTGCTGTCTGCAAGAATGAAAGTGGGGTTAACTATTTCTAAAATTTTATGTGGTGGAATTACATTACAATCTAGTTTAGTAAAATGAAAAAGAGATGGGGCTAAAAAGACTGGAGATAGGGGCTCTGTATTCATTTGCCAGTTTGAAATTTCTTCATTTTGAAAATGATTGATGGAGATAAGAAGACTTCTATCTCCATCAGAACTGAAAGGGCTTTTTCAGTTCTGAAGTCAATTAAATTTGTGAAAACAGTTATATTAATATTTAACATTCTATTATTTCTCTAACAAGCTTCGATCTTGTGGGGAAATAAAAAACAGAACAATGGAAATAAAGAAGTTTCAAAGTACCCAAAGACCTGATCATTATGTGCTTATACACAGTCCTTTTGAAGGCCTTTCCTGAGATGCAGATCCACTCTAGTATTAGAGCAATAGCTTGTGTTCAATTGATATTCTCCATATTGCCTAAGTTTCCCACATTGATATCAGACGTTCTTTGCTTTAAAAAATATGAGTTTGAATTTTATTATTGTCACAAATATTCAGAAATCTATTAATTTATCATGTTTACAGCACCAAACTTTCTGTGTTTTTTCAAGCACATTCACAACTATTGTATTTTTCAAGCACATTCACAACTACTGTATTGTATTTGTATTTATATACAGCTTATTGTATACAATAAGCAATATGTAGCTTATTGTATAAGCTATGTATGTAGAAATACATAGCTTTCTAAAGAAATTATCTTGTTTTTTGTTCAGATAACTGAAATAGTGTAATCTACTCATTTGATTGAACTTATATGCATGTTTCTGTAGTTATAAAATTATTTAACACTATTTATGTATTTTTATATATGGACTTCCCTGGTAGCTCAGCTGGTAAAGAATCCACCTGCAAAACAGCAGACCCCAGTTCAATTCCTGGGTCAGGAAACTCCCCTTGAGATGGGATAGGCTACCCACTCCAGTATCCTTGGGCTTCCTTGGTGGCTCAGATGGTAAAGAATCTGCCTGCAGTGTGGGAGACCTGGGTTCAGTCTCTGGGTTGGGAAGGTCACCTGGAGGAGGACATGGCAAACCACTCCAGTATTCTTGCCTGGAGAATCCCAATGGACAGAGGATCCTGGTGAGCTCACCTTGGACAGAGGAGCAGAGAGGGGCAGGCTACAGTCCGTGGGGTCCCAAAGAGTTGGACAAAACTAAGTGACTAAGCACATCACAGTGTGTGTGTGTGTGTGTGTGTATGTGTGTTTTATTATTTTTTTTTTATTATTTCTGTATTGTAGCAAAGATTCCTTGAAATGGAACAGTTTGCTAATGCAACAGCTCAATCTTTGTGAAAAGAAAGTATGTCAGTTTCCCAGTTTCAAAGGTAACAATTGGATTCATTTAAAGAATATGTAATTCTAATATCAAGTGAATTCCTAAAAATACACTCAATTTGTAAATGACTAGATTAAAAATAAAGAAATATAGGTCAGTTATTTCTTCTAGACTTAAATATTCATATCTTTCAATAATTCTATCCTTGGATATCATCATGTCATTGGTTTATGTCAAAAAATATGTCAGGCATTTCCGATGTTAGATCCCTCATTTAAACCTAGAAGAATTTGTTACCCTTAACTATGTTTTATTTATAGTGCTATCAGAGTAGTGATAGCATAAATGTGTAAGATAAGTTCTCCCAAATCGCAAAGGAGCAACACCCTCTGTTTCAATGTAATGTCTTGAGGGAGCATAACAGTACAAGTATTTGATAGTCAATTAAACATTTTGCTTTCACAATCTATTTACATGAAAATTAATTATTTATAGGTAAATTATTTCATCTCTGTGATTTCCTACTGGACTTAGAGATTTCTTTATGATGTTTTGGAGGAGGAAATTAAACTGTACACTACATAAATTAATCCCACTGTAAAGTAACATTTTGTAATAAGGAACTACAGACTCTATTTTTCTTTGGCAATGAACCTTTATTAATAATGGTATCTCTCCCTAGTCTATGGGGCAAATGAATAGTAGCTGTGCCGGATAAAGTTCACATATTATTAGTATATAAGATCTCTTTGCCAAAGATATCACTGGTTATGTAAAATATATACTCTTGGTGTCCTTTTTTAAATCCATCATATTTTGTTTTATTTTAATTGTATTCATGTAGATGAAAACAGCCTCCATGTTATTGGCCGTATTTATACAAGTATAGACAAAAATCATGTGATTCAAGTTACTTGAAGATTATGTGATTTCTCTCTTTATAAGACTCAATTTTTAAGAGTTTGCATAATATAGCAATGTTAATTTGTCAATATGAGACCTAGTTAAATTTACATCTAAACACATGCCTTCAATTCCTATGTGAAATTGATCCATTTATAAAACCAAGCTACATAGCACAATACTTTAGCGCCCTCTTATGGTTGGCCCAGATTGCAATATGAAAATTACAAGAAAATGCTCTAATAGGCTTTCATTTCTACTGTCATTTTATATTTGAAACAGTACTTATTTCATTGTTCCTGCATAAAGTTAAACATCTAAATTACTTTTATAATACAAATGATCAAATCTATTTCTGGACTATTTTTACATAGCTAAATGCTAACTTACTGAACACTTCATTTTAAAGTTAAAGATATATTTTAACACAGTTTTACAACACATCATTTAAAAATAGTGTTTACTTAATTTTTTAGGTTTTAAAATATGATTTCTCCAAATAAAGCATGAACATATATATCACTTATACATGTTTCCTAATATCTATCAATACTTGTGTCTCCAAATCTATATTCTCATCTGTATTCTCATCTATATTTTCTAGCTTCATTTTTCCAGTCTTCATATTTGTGGCTTCCTTTCATAACCGATACTTAATCCTAGTTCCAGCTTTCATGATTACACCAAACTGAGTCCGTCCCTCGAAATGTTTCCTTAAAGTTTCTGGGACTGTTTCCCAGTTCTGAGTTTCACCTACTAGTACATACTTAGGATCCCTCTTCAAGTTTCTCAGCTGACCAATGCTCAGCCCCAATAGCCCTCTGCTGTTTTCTCTCAGCCCGACTAATTCTAGGACATAATGGTAACTAATAATATCAATAATGTTAATGTAACACCCTTTAGGGAAGGATGGGCTTCCCAGGTAGCTCAGCAGTAAAGAATCCACCTGCAATGCAGGCGCCATGAGTTTGGTCACTGGGTTGGGAAGATCCCCTGGAGGAAGGCACGGCAACCCACTCCAGTATTCTTGCCTGGAGAATTCCTTGGACAGAGGAGCCTCGCAGGCTACAGTCCATACAGTCGCAAAGCGACTGAGCACACACACACACTCAGTGAAAGATAGAAGAACAAAGATTATGTTAAGGAACAAAAGACATCAGGGAAGAAAAATTACAATGAAGCACGTCACTGTTGTTGTTTAGTCACTAAGTTGAATTAGACTCTTTTACGACCACATGGACTATAGCCCACCAGTCTCCTCTATCCATGGGATTCTCCAGGCAAGAATACTGGAGTGGTTGACATTTCCTTCTCCAGGAGATCTACCCAACTCAGGGATTGAACTCACATCTGCGTTGTAGGTAAGATCTTTACTGCTGAGCCCCCTGGGAAGTCCTGCAGTTCACTGATGAATCAAAATAGTCCCTGCAATTTCCCAGAACTTGACTCTAAGAATTCTTCTTTCTTTGCTCTCAGCCTGCTGACTAACCAACAGGTATTG